CATAACTAGCAGAACAGGCTGCAAAACACAAAGAGAGAATGAGAAAAATATAAAGGCAGAATAAGAAAGAAAACAGAACCTAACGATTACCAGAGCAGTTACTTTCCTACTGCGTGCCCTCTTAAGAACACGGTAAGAATAAATTATTTGTTGATTTATAACAGAAATGAGAATTACTTGGTATGATATCCAAGCTTCCTTAAGATCATGGGTAGCTGCAACAATAGTAAGCTCGGCACATCGTTCTGAAGATACACGCCTCTGTCAAACCACAGGAAAAGAGAAAAAATGTCAGGCATAATCTATAACACTAAAGTTTAAGGGTGCAGAGATGTTAGATTTCCAAATATAGCTATCAGTTTGTATGCCATGAAAATAATAATGCCACCAAGCAAAAAATAGAAAAAGATAACTGTGTGTTCCTATTTTTTCCACACAACCTTAACTTAATTGCATTTATATTCCTAGAAGCTAATGCCCAGATAATAAGAAGTATCTAATAGCCTACACTAGAAATTAGAAAGTTGAAAGCACACTAGTGCTTGTGGCTGCCAGTTAAGTTGTAAAAATTTTAAGTTGTAGGCAAGGTCTTGTGACTAAATTCCTTCTGCATCAAATTTACATTTCAGCACTCAATCTTTTCACCCAAAAATAAAATTTTGTGATTCCTATTTTTTTCCAAACCTTGCGGTAACCATGCAAACAAAAACGTAAAACATCATTTTTAGAATCCTGGCCCAGAACATTTGAATTTATTTTATATTCATTAGTAACTGCCTCACTCTTGTGCTCTTCCTCTTGGTTGAGTTTGCGGATTGGTGTTTGTGTGTAATTTGTGCTTCAGCACACGAACTCCTCAAAAAAATTAATATATAACTTTCTTCTTAAAACAATACAAAAAGGGCCATGCATTTTTATTTCAATCTCGGTTCCCCTCCAATTACCATTTAATTCTGCGTTGAGACCATTACTTCACAGATGCCGAACACAAAAAATATTGATCAAATGCTTCGTGTTTTTCTACCCAAATGTATTACAAAATTATTCTTTTAAAGACTCAATTAATTGAGACTTACTACTTATAAATAAACAAGTAAATTCTCATTTGTTACTGTAATAGATGTCTAATCCAACAATAAGCTTCAACTCTCAAAAAAAATAAACATGAAAATAAATGGCTGCTAAATTATATTTTTTCTTTGAACATTTCCTTCAGCCTTAAGTGGTATATTGATAGGAAACACTTGAAATCAAGTATTTCCTATTCACCTTTACAGCAAAACTCTACGACATACTGCTGTCCGGAGCAGAAAAACAGTAAAAACAGCGGAAAAACTGTAGAAAACTGAGAGAAATTTGTAGGAAAAACTTGTATTTTACTAGTAGAAGAAGAAAACAGCAAAGATACAATTGATCCTCAATTCGAGAGGAGGATCGATCTCTCCCAAATCTCTAGACGCCGCTAGAGCCCAAAGAAAACCTAAATCTAAGCGATCTCAAATTTCAGCCAAATTCCAGATGCCCAAACCCTAGGAAAAACATCTATTTAATGCATGCAAATCAAAAGGAATTCCCTAAACAGTCCCTACATTCAAATTTCTCTCTGAAACCCCCCAAAAATCCTTCCTAAAACGCTCTATATGAGCGGTCGGGCCGCTCGTTCTGGCGGAATCTCCGCATGTTTTGCGATTTTGCCCGTAAACCGGTCCCGCCTGGACCGGCTGGACCGGTCCAGTGGACCGGTCTAACATATATCAATCTAGCTATGAACAAAGCAGAATTTGTATTGTAAGCATGGTTTTAGCATCAAGGTCAGGGATTGAACCAGACGGAATAATTTAAGATTCAGAAGTTAAACCAGAAGTTCAAAACAGAGAATGTAATAATATAAAATATACAATAATAATTTGAATAACATAATATGTATAGTAATAATGCATTCATTTAAAAAATAAAATAAAGATTGGCTAAATACATGAAAACTCCATGTTCTAATTTTTAATCATATAAGCAATAGACATATTATTCCAAAATACTATCAAATGTATAGTAGATGTAACCTTTAAAAAATTATTGCATTTGAATTGACACAATTGAAACAGCAGAAGTTATTAACCCAAATAAATTCTATGGGTATTTATAAATTTCAAAATGCATGTCTATCTTATATTTATAGTTTAAATATTATTATGGTTGTTATGCTCACCAAAGTACAAAATATGTAAGCAAAGAATTTTGATGTTGTTCTAGTTGTCTTATGTTATGTTTTCTGGTTTATTTTTGAATGTAGGATCCTAAGACATTGCTGTCTGTGAGAACATGATGCATTTTGTAGTGTTTGGAGTTCATTGTTGTAAGCTATTTTCGATTTAGAATTTCCTCAATCAATAGTTTCCAGCTCCCCATTACGTCCACCTAACTGATTTCAAAATCCCGGACTGTTCCTTTTGTTACCAATTACTAAACTGTAGCCTGGAGCATCACTCGTTAACCCACAGTTGTCACTACTAAAGTAGAGATCAAATCTTTACTAATAACTCTTGCAAAACATGTTTTTTTTAGCTTCTCTGCAACTCAAGGTATTTCCTAACTATAGTGGCTACGTATTTGCTGCTGTCATTTTAGTAGATCTAAAAGCGAATACATAGAGTATAATTTTAATAGTAATAGAACTAGTAGGGGATTGTGACTTTCGACAATCAAGTCATTAATTCAAGTACACATTTTATATATCTTGAGTCTATTGTTTAAAGTAATGGTGAAATAGATGGACATATTATTAGTAAAATTCAAATTGGATGGTTGAAGTGAAGGAATGCATCAGGCTTATAGTGTGATAAAAAAATACCTCTCAAACTTGAGGGAAGTTTCTATAAAATGGTGGTGAGACTTGCAATACCTTATGATGCAGAATGTTGGAAATTAAAAGAGAAGCATAAAATTAAGTATTGCAAAGATGAGGATGCTTAGGTGGATGAGTTGCTTTACTCTTAGAGACAGAATGTAAAACGAGTATATAAGTGAAAAAGTTGAAGTAGCTCCAGTGGAAAATAAGATTAAAGAGAGTCGCGTTAGATGGTTTGGACGCATAAAGCGTCTTTCTTTCCATGACCCGGTTAGGAGAGTAGAAGTATAGGATTTTACCTATATTAAGAAAAGTAAGGGTAAACCTAAAAAGAGTTGGCTAGAAAACATTAAAAATGAATTTTTTTTATTAAATTTAAATAAAAATTTGACTCTTAATATGACAAAATGGAGAAAAAAGAATCATATAGTTGACACCATGTAGTTGGATAAAGTTTGCGCTAATATATTTTGCAAATTTTAAATATATTTAATATAATATTACACACTATCTCATATTAAATTTTTAAATATATTTAATATATTATTTAGTATAACATTTAGAAATTTGATATGATGAGGTTTAATATTTTAAAATATAATTAACTATAATATTTAGAGTTTTTTATTTCTGAAAGTAAATAGCTAATCAAAACTATAAAAGTAAATAGAAAAATTAAAATATTTTTCATAATTTATGATAGCATATAATACATAGCGTAAGTAGCTGACTGTCATGTGCATTCAACACAACCATCCAACATGGCCTTATCTATGGTGCCTCCATACTTTAAGGAATAAGCGCATTGGTGGAGTATGGAAGATTTTGTTGATTGCTAGTCGTTATATGTGCACACACCCGGTCATGTCTGCCAGTCATCATAACTGCACATCGAAGTTTATTTACTACTATGTAGGTGTTGTGCTCCACCAACAATTTGATTTAAAATCAAGGGAGATCATTGCATGTATTGAAGAAAAATTTGACATCAAGGTTTCATAAATGAAGACGTGGGATGCACGTAAGAAAGTCATGTGTTTAATGTTCAAAAGTTATGAGTCATACTTGCCTCAAAAAATATATAACAGCTCTGGGAAGCATACCACAATTTTAAAAACATAAAAAATGAAACAAATAAAGTATATCAAAAGAGTACGAATGCATTATGCAAATTTAACAAAAAGCATACAAATTCATCGAGTAGAAGAACCAAAAAGCATGTAAATACATCAAAAAAATGTATAAAAAATCATGTAAGTGCATCATTTAGGCACACCTAAAAGTGCACAAGTATAATAAAAAATTAAAAAATATACAAGTGCCCTATACAAATGCACCGAAAATCATGCAAGTACATTGTGTGGACATACTAAAAACATGCAATTACACTTTGCAAATATATCAAAAAGCATGCATATAAATCATGTAGACACATTGAAAAATACACAAGTATATTAAAGAGTGTGAGTGTATTTGTACAAATGCACTGAAAAAATATATAAGTGCATTGTATAAACATAAACAAGAGAGCATGTCATTTAAAAAAAAAATAAAATACCTGCATGTGCTCCAACCAAATACATTAAACACCAAAATTTATAATCAAAGAATATTGTGTGAGTTAAGACGAATAATGAAATTTAAATTGTATTCAAATCAGAAATGTAAATTTCAAATAGTGTAAAGATAGATAACTATGAAACCCGCAAACATATTTGATTTTAAGTTTTCATTAGGCCTATAATAACTTTTACGAAGGAAATTTATTTCAAAAATACAAGCTCACAAGTTTATCACTCGTATAACAATTTGCATTGCAAAGTCATTACTTAAACACAATCATCTGCTAGTAAGCAAGCAAAATTGACAATATTCAAGTGACAACATAAAAATATTCAAATGCATAAATAATAGCTATGTTGATAGAAAATCTTAATTAGAATGAAATATATCTTTCAAAATGCCCACAAATTCCAAGGTTGATCAGCTGGAGTTTAAAATTTTAATATAGATTAAAAAATGATAATAATACTTCTAAATTTTAAAAATTTTCAAATGAAATCTATCACCCATAAATTTAAAGTAAAAATTTATTCACCCCTCGCAATCATTTATTAAGGTTGACTATTGAGAATAACCATAACTCACAAATGGTCAATAGTTTGTCGAGCATATAACTACTATTTACTCAAATGATCTTTTATCAATAAAAATGTGGCACGTGTCATCTAAACGGCAACTTTGCCGGAAAATCACACAATATGTAAATGGATATGATCAAGGCCCTCTAGCCAACAGTTTCTCCATAAAATGATACAATTATATTACAGCTAACGTAAGGGCTCACAAGTTCCCCAATGTTTAAAAAACACTTGAAAAATAAATCATAAGATACGATTGATGAAGCACAAAGCCC